GTCTCCTTCCACGTGTGGAACACGAGTAAACACTTTGTCCAAGTGAGGGCAAATCGGTTGTGACTTTCCAGAGAAGCAGCACAAGCCCTGCAGTTGGCACGCTGCCCCTTCCAACGGGCACAGCCTCAGCCTGGCCAAAAAAACCACTATTTTCACTGAAAAAAAGTCACCTTCAAAGGAAGCAGCTCCCAGTCCCAATGCCAGTGTGCAGCACCCAGTCAGTTCCGGTGCCTTATTAGTCATGATTAATGCAGGTGGGGGAGCTTGGAAGGCAGCAAGTGCTAAACCCAAAGTGGATTCCAGCTTGTCTTCAGCACATTTGTAACTTCCCACCTGCTCTCCTCAGCTGCTGACAAGCTCCTGCACAAAGGGGAGAAGGCCCAAGACACAATAAAAACATTATGGCAGTACCTGTTCTAAGATCCACAATGTCAGGGCTGGTGTTGCAACCACACAACAGCAACCTAGGACATTTCTGCAAGAGCAGAGTTGGAGAGTTAAACCCCCTTCCGTGATTGCACTGGGCTGACACTGCCCTCAAATGTGCTTTTAGCTACCCCAGCTCTTCTGGCAGGAACCAGCCACCCCCAGGCAGGGCCCCAGACGTCCTCTCTGCCACGCTGCACAAAGCCCCCAGGCCAGGCCAGGCCAGGCAAGTCTCTGGCTACACACCTCCTACACACCTAAATCCACTAACACCTGCTTTTCCTCCCTGACTGCATCTCAGACACAGCACACGCTGTCCCAGCAGAAGCTGTGCTGCTGAAAGCACCAAAACACCTGGGATACCTCGGCATTAACCAAACAACTCCCCTGGGATTCTTCACAAATCTGCCTCGAGGGCTTGTACCCTCAGAAGAGCAGACTGCAGGAACACAGAGGATCCACCATCCCAGCCAGCAGGGTGCATGTGCTGCCTCACACGGAACACAGGAAAAGTACGGGGGAAAAAATAAAAAAATAAACATCACATGTCCCATTCCAAGAGGAGAAACAGTTTAATTCCTAATCCAAATGTCACTGGTCAGCTGATTAGCAGCTGGCCCTCGGCTGAAGCTAGAAAGCAAAAACTCCCAAAATGCACTTCAAAGCCATGCCATGTGTTGAACCCAACCCCACTGGAGAACTGGGTTGAGGATCGGGCAAATCTGCAAAATTTACCTCAGATGGGGTTTGTTTTACAGTGTGATTGTTTCAGAAGAAGGTCAGGTGTAATTTTAGTCACTTCAGGTCGCAGCAGGGCAGAGAGCTCCACGTAGGTTACAGCTGCAGGGGAAGGAAGCCCTAAGGGTGAGCTGGGCAGGGGTCAACAGAGCCCTCAACAACCCAACCCCCCAATTAGGCAGCCCAGGGACAGGTTGGACACTCACAGCCTTTGCTGGCCTGCAGTTCTGCCAAGGGAAGTCAGGATGAAACATTCCCACCATGCCCTTCTTTTCAGTACAGAGGAAAAAACACAGCTGGCAAACGTAAGCTGACTTTGCACTGGTTCAGAATGTCTGCCATTAAAAGCTTTGAAATCTGCACTAGCAGGCAGCACACGGGCATGAATGTGAAAAGCTTCAGTGAGATATGTGACAATTATTAAACCTGAATCCCTTACTTACACACTTTCAGGGGAAAAGACCTTCCCAAAAGATACTATAATTTGAGAAGTGACTTTTCACAGACGTGAAGAAATGCAGCCTGTACCTTTTGCTAGAAGCAGAGTGAGACAAGATCCTCTCAAATATGTGCCCCAACAGCACTCACACACCTTGGGTCAGCTCAGCACTCTCTGACAACACTGTGAGTACACCCAGCCACACAAAACACAGCCTCCCCTCAGAAATGGGACACCGGGGCAATCCCCACCTTGCTTCAGCTCAGGAGAACCCACAGCTTGTGGTACTTGGGCACACATGCACATCCCTCAAACTCCTTAGCAGATTCCTGATTTATGACAACATCCCTCTCAGTGTTTCCTTGATCCTCCTCAGACACTGACCTCCTTACAGCTCCAGTGTGGGGGTTTGGGGTGGGTCTTTATTGTTTTGGGGTTTTTTTCTCCCTACACACAGGCAGGAACAAAGTGCAGCATCCGATTTGCTCACACTGTTTTGGTTTCTTTCCATAAACAAAACAGCAAGACGGCAGCCCGACTCACCCACACACTCCAGCAGCTCCTTGGGGATTCACCTCAGCTCAGTGAAACACCCCAAAACCAGTAACACCCCCCCCTCACTGGGTGGCTTTAACCCTGGCCCCGCAGACCCCCAAGGCCAGCAGCACTGACCCCCCACAGCAGTTAATCCTTGTGCAAACTTCGAGGGGCATTTCTCAAGAGATTGTTCGTGCTAAAATATGGATGAGAGCAGGACAGCTACAAAGACTCAACTGCGAGTCACCTATTGCAACACACTATAAAAAACCCCACTGATTCAACACCACGGCCAACCACTCAAATAAATTCCTTCTATGTTACTCCCATCTACTTCTTCCCCCAAGGAAGGAATGTTCCTCTGTGCCCAGGGAAGCAGCAACCAGACGCAACTATTTTTCAGGGATGGGGTTGCACCCCCAGGAGGTATTCTGGGGGATCCATGCAGAGCCAACGAGCACGTAGAGTCATCTGCCACCTGGCACACACTGGTGCTGCACCGTGGCCTCCACTCCAGGCAGGGCACACCCCTGTCAGCAGGGTTGCTCAGCAGAATTCAGGGTGACCAGGCACAGCTCTGACAGACAGAGGTAAATCCCAACACTCCCCTTCCAAAACTTCTGGTTCAGCCAGTTCCTCAGTCATGCAGCTCAAGTCTCCCCCACACCATCCACCAGCACCTCAGAGATTCCTTCTCTGAAGCCGCTTTTGCACCTCTGTTTATTTTCCAGGCTTCCCATGCACCGAAACACAGGCCTCCCCTCTGCCTCCTAAAGCAATAGAGGTGTTCCTTCCCAGGCAGGATACACCTCCTGCAAAGTGCTTCCCAGGGGACTTTTCCTTTTAGCAGAAATAGCCAAGAGCTCACAAGTTGCCTTTTCAAAACTGCTGAAGCACCACTGCAGACACGAAGAGGTTTTCCAGCCGCGGATTCAGACATCAGGAGTGCAGGGACCAGGCTGCCCTGGAGCTCCCCAGGTCTCCAGCTGAGTCAGGGAGAAAATGCTGTTTACCAGCTCTCAGGCACACGTACGCAGAGCTACAGCACTTCTGACCCACACTGCCTCCCCACATCACCTCCCTTTCCTACAGAGGAAACGGCATTTTCACCTCTCTGTTCCCATCACAAGGGGGACAGGCAACCTGCAAACCCACAAAGCCACCTTGCTCCTGTCCCCTTGGAAGCTTCACTCAGCAGGCAGGCAGAAGGATTTCAGGCTGCCCACAGCAGAGTCTAAATGTGAGGGCAACGCATTTCACTACAAGAACTTCCCCTGCCTCACAGGACCAGACCTCAGCACCTGTACTACGGGCCTTGCCCAGCCTGGGTGCTCCAGGAGCTGCAGCCAAGCCTAGGCCAGGCTCCATCCCAAGAAACCAGGAATGGCAGGGAAAAGCCCCCACAGGCAGCAGCTCCTCCAGGACAGCCAGGAGGGAGGGGAGGCACCTCTTCCAGGCAATCTGTGCTTCCACCTCCACCTCTGCCAAGCAGGAGGGCCCGGTGACACACGGGCTGCGCTCCCCGGTGCTGTCAGCACGGGGCAGAACCTGCCAGCACATTACTCATCAGCACAAACAGCCTCTGCCTTCCTATGTTACCAGGATGAGGCCACCCCGGTGTTAAAAAAAGACTGACAGCTCCTCAGGTTTAGCTCGTGTAGCTCCTGAGCTCCCAGGGCCAAAAGGGCCTTGGAAATACCAGCCGAGGCCAACCTACAACGCCAATTTCAAGTAAAAAAATATAAAATCGCTATAGTTACCAGTTAAAAGCCTGGTTTCGGTGCTCCTCGCAGCAGAACACATCAGAAATCACGTCTGAAAGACGGTCACAGCCCTATTTTTTTGCACGCTGTGGTGACTCCTTACAAACCTGAACACTGGCAGCGTACACAGAGTCCCTTTTCCATTTTAGGGCTCCTTCTGTAGAAGCCAACACAGGTCCTCCCACTCAGCTCTCTCACAGCAGCTCCCCTCTCCTTCGCAATCACCAGATCAAAACAAAACACTGTTTTGACTGAAATGGCCCAGGATGCTGCAGGAGGGACCGGGAGCAGGGCTAAGGAGGCCAACATCTCTCTGAAGGTCGAGGCTAAGGTTACCAGCCAGAGCCAGCCAGGAGGCTCCTCACAGCCCCAACAAACGAAATGTAAAATGATAGTTGAAGCAGCAGAGCTGGTTACAATTAAACAAATGCCACCAGCAGCTTTGCTGCACTGCAAGGGCTGCACACGTCATGAGTTCTGTAATCCCCATGGCTCGTTTTTAGTTCTTCAACTGTTTTATTTGAGGGGGGGAAATACAGCAGTTTAGGATCAGCATTTCCCCTTGCAGGAGCCCCCCACGCACAGAAATCCCTCATCCCAGGTCACAGCCTACCTATGGGCATGACAGAGCTGCCAGGAATTTACTCCAGTGTATAATCCTCCCTGCTTAAGGCACGAAAGGAGGTAACAGCTGAAAAAAGTTAAAAAGCGAAGGCCACTGTTTTTATCATTTACAGTACCTTGTTCTGCACCAAAACATTTGATGGTTTTGGGGTCTGCTTGGGGTTTTTTAGCTCCCAGTTTAGGAGAGGTGGGAAACGACTAACTATGAAATCCCCTCGATTTCTAAAGCATTAAAACCCCCCACATCTAGCAAACCTGCACCGTATTTACACATGAGAAGACCAGAAACGTCAGCTCGGAGATGCCACTGGACTGCAATTCCACCAAGGACAATGAAATATTGGGGGACCCGGGGATCGAGGGGGAGACGGGGTGGCCGGGAGAGGCCAAGGCCTCCCTTCCCGGCTCGGGGAGGAGAAGGGGCAGGGAAAAGCAGCGCGGGCAGAGCGCTCCGAGAGGCGCCGGGCTCTCACCTTCCGCCAGCACCTCGTCCACCGTGACCTGGTGCCGGCCGATGCTGAAGACCCGGCCGATGTAGCCGCTGCCCGGGCCGCTGCTGCCGCCGCCGCCGCCGCTGGTGCCCGACCCGGGCCCGGAGCCGCCCTGCTCCCGGCGCGAGTCGAAGAACTTCTTCATGTCTCAGAGGCGGCGGCGCTGGGGGCGATGCCGGTGTCAGTGCCGAGCCCCTCCCGGCTCTGCTGAGGGGCCCCGGGGCCGCTCTCCTGGCGGGGCCGCGCCGCGCTGTCCTCGGGGGACTCACACCTGCAAAACCACAGCGGGTGACGGGGGGCGGCGACACCCCCGCGGGGCGCCGCGACCCGCGGGGAGCCGCGACCCGCAGCGACCGAGCCCGGTACCTCGCAGCGGGCGGCGGGAGCCTCCATGCGCCCCGCGGGGCCGGCGTGCGCAGCCCCACCGGCTGGCTCACGGCGGGGGCCGGCTGCCGGCAGGGCCCGGGGCCCGCATCGCTGCCTGGCGGCGTCACCGGCGGCCACCGAGCCCGTCAGGGAGCGGGACGCGGGCAGGGACCGACCCCGCCGCCGCCGCCCCCCGCCGGCCCCATCCGACCACGACACGGGCCGTCACAGGAAGTCCCGGCTGCCGGCGGGAGCGCCGCCCCCGCGCCTCCGCCAGCCGCAGGGCCGGGCCCCGCCGCCGCGGGCTGTGCCGATGGCCAGGGGTGTCCCGTCCCGGAGTGCCCGTCCCGGGATGTGCCGCCCGTCCCGGGATGTCCCGTCAGTCCCGTCCCGTCCCGTCCCGCAGCCCCCGAGCGCGGCGCGGGGGGAGCGGGGGCTCGGCGGGATGGCGGCCCCGCGCGAGGCGCGCTGGGAGCGGTAGTTCCCCGGCACGGGCGGTCGCGGCGCTTCAAGCGCAGCGCGGACTACAACTCCCGGCGTGCACCGCGGCCGGCAGGGGGCGCTGTGCGGCGGGGCCGTGAGGGGGCCGCGCCGGAGCCCCGGGCCGGGGTCGCCCCTCAGAGCGGCGGGGCCGGGCCGGACCGGGCTGGGCCGGGCCGGGAGCGACGGTGGCCCCAGGGACAGCGGAGGGGCTCACGGGACGGTTGTCCCCCTCGCCGCGATGCACGGGTGCAGGAATCCTGTCCGTGAGCAACCGCGGCCCGCGCTGGCGCTTTGCCCGGTGACGGCTGTTTTATGTTTGGTTTTGAAATAATGTGCTAAACTCGGTGTCTTTGTGATATAATGACAGAAGGCCATTGCTGTGACACCTTGGTTTTGGCCTGAAGCACGAGGCTTATCCTCACGCAGGCCCTGCTGCCTCATCTGAGATCCTCAAAAAACTCTATAAACAGAGGGTATCCCAAGCCCTCAAAACCTGTTCAGTGTTTTAAACCTGGCAGCTGGTTTTGCAAAGCCTGCCCCTTGGATTGACTGTTAAATTACATCTCCTCCCGACCCCAATACCTCCCACAGCTCATCCACAGAGCCCAAAGCCCCTGGGTTAAGCTTTGGAGAGGTTTAGATTAGCTCGAGTCTTGTGAAATTTCCTTTAAATTTAACCACTTTGGGGTTTTTTCAGCCTTTTTTTTTTTCCTCAGAACCAAGGAGATTTTCCCAGCCCACGACATCCACAGCAGCTGACTCCTCTCCACATGCATCACAGAAGGCCAAAGATGGGATTTGAAACAGAAGAGGGAAACACTAAAGTGGCAAAAATTGGTTTCCCCAGAATGAGGACCCAGAATAACAAAGCTCGTGGCTCCAGAGGAATCCCTCCGTGACACACCGCTCTCCTTCCTCCCTCGGGCTGGGACACAAGAGGAAACCAAAGCACGCTCCCATTTTCCCGGTGACTATTATTTCCTGTATTATGGTAATAACTACAGCCATCCTGCTGACAGCCCCTGTCCCCAAGCCAGGCCTGCTTACTGTGGGATGGCAAAAATGCTTCCCCACACACAGCCCTTTTCCTTCATCCTGCCCCTGGTTTGGGCAGAGGCTTCCAGCAATGCCAACAAGATTGGATCAGCATGTTGTAAGTGCATCTAATTGGTTTTGTCCCCTGGTGTTTGGTGACTTTTAGGATGGATATGGCTCTCAGAACAGTCAAGTAGAATTTGTTACCTACAGGCTGGGGGTGACGTTTAGCACCTGGATCTAACAGCAGGTCACTGTATAGTTGTTCCTCTGCTGAGCCACTGAGCCTCTTCACTGTGGGTAAATGCTGCACCTCTTCCATCATCCTTGTCCTCAGCAGCTCTGGTAGGTAAGGGCCCACCAGCCCACCCTGCAAACCTCAGGGTCCTCCTTGACCACCTTTAGCCACCCGTAATTTGTAGGGTGCTGCAGAGTGGCTCCTGGCTGCACCTCATTTCAAAGTGTCATGTACAAGACACCCCAAATCCACAGAGCTGGGACTGCAATCATTTCAGCCAGGCAGCCAACACACGTGTGAAAACAGTCCTTTTTCATCTGTCAGGCTTTAATCTCCATGAAACCTGCTCGTGGTTTGGGGCTCTGTGATGGATTTTCAGTGGTCAATACAGAAGGTTCACTTGCCCTTCAGAATAAAGGCGAAGCGGGTGAGGTCTTGGCTGCCTCTATCCATGTTTTTTTGTTATTGTTTTAATTTCTCTACCCTGTGAAAGATCCCCAGGCATCTCCCACGACTGAGGTAAAACCCCCAGTGCAAAAAGCGACTCCCACCATCGGGGATTTCTGGGGACTCTGCAGAACTGAACAATTTCCAAGGAAATCGGGCATCTCTGTACAGTACAGGGAAATGACTCATTTCCAGGCAGGGAAGATAAAAGCCTCTGCGTGCAGAGAGCTGCAGATGCAGCGCTGAGCCTCCTCCCTGGCTCTGGGAGGCTTTTTTTAACCGTACCTGCGGTGCAATGCAGGCGAGCGCCAGCCCCACACACGCCTGGGGCTCTGGTGCTCAGCCCATGGACCCCCAGCCCCTGCCAGCACCACTGTGGGGAGCAGGAGCACGGCAGGAGCTGATCCCCAGCTGAGGATATTCCTTATTGCAGAAGGCACGAGGCTTGGCTGCGCTGCTGCAATCCCAGTGACCTTCACAGGGATCAGAGGCAACTGAGCCTGAAAGCTCTTAGGGAAAAAGCTGATCAGGGGCTGCCAGCACAGGCATGGCCTGTGCTCCTCCCCTGTGAGCCTTGAGCGACTCCAGAGCGCTCCCAGAATTGTCCCACTGCGGAGAGGAGCCTCAGTCTGACTAACACAGCCCATCCTAAACACCAGATTTTAGCTGCTAAAATCCCCTGACACAGGGTTTAAAATATCCGAGCCCCGGTGGCGTGGTCAGCAGAGCTGCTTCCCTGATCCCTGCTTCTCCTGCGCTGCCCAGAAAATGCATTCAAATCCCCAGGAAGAAGCAAGCACATTAATACAGCTGCATCCCTCTTCATCAAACTTTCCGGACAGCTCAGCGTTTTCTAAATAAAAACGCGCTTGGAAAGGTATCCTGCGGCCCCCGAAAGGCGAGGGCAACACTGGCCTCTTCTGGAGAGCTCGAGGAGCGGCAGCGAGGTAGGAAAGAGCCGGCACAGCTTCCTGGGCTTGGTGACGCTTAACAGTCCAGGGGAAACAAAGTAATGGTCACATTTTCCTGAATTCAGCGCTTAATAATCAAGCCTTATCACCCGGTTATTTTTACCGGGATAAGGATGTTGGGAGAGCAACTCTTCACCCGGGCAGCCGGTGCTAGAAGGGATATTGGTTTTAAACTGAAAGAGGGGAGATTTAGTTTAGATATTTGGAAGAAATTCTTCCCTGTGAGAGTGGTGAGGCCCTGGCACAGGTTGCCCAGAGAAGCTGTGGCTGCCCCATCCCTGGAAGCGTCCAAGGCCAGGTTGGACAGGGCTTGGAGAAATGTGGGACAGGGGAAGGTGTCCCTGCCCATGACGGGGGGTGGGATGAGATGATCTTCAAGGTCCTTTCCAGCCAAAACTATTCCATGAGTCTATGATTCTCTGTCCCCTTAAACTCATACATTTGCTGCAAAGAAAGCTGATGAGCTTCTCACCAACTAAAGAGCAGAGCCACTGGTCTATCTTTCTTTCTTCCCATGATTTTCTGGAATCCAAGCATTTCTTTCCAAGTCCAAGTGACCCCTAAACACTACTAGTATGACCAGAAAAACCACTCTTCTTCATCACCCCCAAGGAAAGCTCAGTCCTCAAGCATGCTATCACAGGGATAGGAATTTGGCTGGGTTCAGAGTTGTGCAGAGGAACAAAAAGACTCCCAAGCTCACAACTGTATTTCACTGGTGTAAAAAATGGAAGTTTCCACCTCTTTGGTGCTCCTGTTTGCCGTTGTGGGACGTACTCACTGGTTCCAGCAATGGGTACGCTTCCTGCAGCTGGAGCCAACACCTTCCATCCATGGTAATGGCAGTCCTGGCCTGTCACTGAATGTGGAGTAGACACACGTGGAAATAATGGCTCCTTCCAACTCAGAGTGTTCTGTGAGTTTTGACTCTGCTGGGTGAGCTCTGGACCTGTGTTGTAAGTCTCACTGCATCAGCCAGTGTTTCTGTCCCATTTCCCTGAAGGAATGAGTCTGTGTGTGCCTTGGAAGTTACCCTGAGCTGGGCAGTCAGAGCTGTTCCCATCCCCTGGAGCTGGGCTACAGCCAAATTGCAGAGCAGTAAGATAGAACTACATAGAAGCAGATATTAATTAAGAAGAAAAAAGTGAAAGCTACTCATTTCCTCTTCAGAACTATATGTATGCTAATTAAAGTAAGCATTCATTACGCCCATTAAAAGAAATTTTGGGTTGATAATGCATTTCAGGCTGCTGGAAGCAATGGTGTAACAGTTCATAGCCTGCAGCTTTGGGAAGGAGGGGTCAGGTTGGACCACAGATGATACACATTTTCCACAGGGCACTGGCAGTTTCCCTGACTGAGCATCTCCAGGGACTGGCAAATGCCCTGAGGCCTGGGGCTGAAATGGTATCAGTTAGTCTTGGTAGAGGGGATGCTGAAGATACATCACAGTTTGTACAAATAACTGTAAGTGCAATTGCAGTGGTCTAGCCTGTCTCTTGTCCTTGATGTAATCAGGCTATACCACAACATGCAGTGTAATTCATAAAATCATGGGATGGGATGGGTTGGGAGGGGCCTTAAAGTTCACCCAGTGCCACCCCCCTGCCATGGGCAGGGACACCTTCCACCAGCCCAGGTGGCTCCAAGCCCCGTCCAACCTGGCCTTGGACACTTCCAGGGATGGGGCAGCCACAGCTTCTCTGGGCAACCTGTGCCAGGGCCTGCCCACCCTCACAGGCAACAATTCCTTCCCAATATCCCCTCTAACCCTGCCTGCTGTCAGTTTAAAGCCCTTTTCCCCTGTCCTGAAACTCCAGGCCCTTGTCCAAAGTCCCTCCCCAGCTCTCTTGGAGCCCCAGAGCCTTCTCTTTTCCGGGCTGGACAACTCCAACTATCCTTTCTCCATAAAGGAGGCACTCCAGCCCTCCCAGTGGGTAATGGCAATGGCTTATCAGGCAGCCCTGGATCTGTGATGATTCCTGTGTGCCTTTTGCCACAGCCTGTGCCTCAGGCTCTGCTGGGGGTGTTACAGCATCCCTGTTTTCCCCAACAGTGAAAGGTGGGACAACACAAGCATCAAAAGCAAAGGACAACCTCTGTGACTGCAGGGGGCTTTTTGGAAGGTAAAAGTGTCACCCCACAAGCACCTGATCATGCTCCT